TAAGAATCTTCTATCTGAAACAAAGATGCTTTGTTTGCAATAACCTTCTCTGTTTGACTGGCTTTTAAACTCTATTACACTGAGGCTGCACTGTTACTCACCTCTTACTAAATTCCAGGGAATCCACGTGGATTAGCAGGATTATGAATGTCCAAAAAGAAGGAAGCTCATGCCTTACTATTCACTAGAGAATCTGCAAGACACTGACCAAACAATGGATCCTCTGATGCACTCACAGTAAGATGTGAGCCTCAACTGAACTCTTCTGTAATTGGGGCATTTGGACAGTGCCTGTCCCATGTGAATTTCCTGGACTCTAATAAGCATGAGCTCATCTTTCCCTAAGGTATAATAATAAGGTCTCTACCTGTCACCTATTTCATGAAACTTGTCTGAACTTAATACCTTTCAGACTCTGACTGGGTGTAAAATGCATTTGAAATTAGATAACAGATTAAAAAGCTGTACAGACTTAACCAGTGTAATCACATACTCAGTATTCCCTTAGAAAAGCAGGCCTAACAATAAATTCAAGTTAAACTGACAGGGAATTTTTCTAAGGAACACAATTATCTGTATTTAATTTTCTATTAAAACAAAACAAAACCAGACACTCACAAGGAACCAAGACCAAAAAGAGCTAGATGTGGAACCAGCAGCCCTCACCCATGCAGTGCTCAGCTTCTTCCTGCTTCACTCTTCTGGTGCCACCATATCCCTCCTTGGTGATGAGCATCATCCCACCTTAACCTTAATCTGCCTTACATGAGCCATAGGAAGAGAGTAGGCAAGGGCTTCATGAGCACTCCAGGATTCTGTAATTGGTGGCAGATTTAGGGATAACAGTTTCCTTGGCCCCCAAGATGTGCATAGACTAAGAACAATCTTTCACGGGCTGATAAATTATCACTATTGTGCACAAACACCTGAAATTGAAAGCCAAATTATTCTTCCAGATTTAGTGCCTCTCTTTTCCAGCTTCTCTGTCTTGAACCACCCCTGTTCACTCTAGATCTCTTAGAGAACTTGAGGATTGGAAGTGGTGACAGCAGGCTGCAATCTGGATTGCTGTTTTCCTTCTGTGCTCTATTACTCCGAGGAGGGTGGGTAGATCCTGTGCATGTTCCAATAGTAGACAGGCTTCTTGGAAGAAAATGCAGCAGACAGCTACATTCTCTAGAGGCAGATCACAGGATAAATAGATCTGGATTGTGTTGGTCCCATATGAGGTATCAATTCTATGTCTTTGTCTTATCACTCCATCCCTACTGCTTTGCAAACCCAAAACACTTTCTCTGAATAATCACAACTGCACTGATTTCTTCCCTCTGCAACGGAGCCAGGAGCCTGCACTGGTATTTTTAGGTAACCCACTTGCTCTGTTTTCTTTCCCCTCTGTGAATAGATCCCTTACTTATTCTAACCCATAATCTCACACACATTTCTCATCTCTTTCTGTTCTGGCAGTCTCTCAGAACTGCAAATGCAGCACCTACTGCTTACATACAGGGCAACACCATTGCTTTCTGCTGGGGTTTTCTTGCATTCAGCCCTCTCCCAGGGCTGAACCAGAAATACATGACCAGAAGTACAGAGCTAGAGACTGCAAAAAGACTGATAAAAGTAGAAAGTGGCTGAATATTGTATAGAAAGCCAATCAAATCTTCCAATGAATGTTTTTATGATTATTCATCAAAGCTGATAAAGATCCCATTCCAAAGGAAGGGAGGTAAAAGAGCCAGCCAGCAAAGGAAGGTAATCTACAACCAAAGAAGTTTCTAATCTAAATTCTCTCCTGTTTCAGTTGGCATAAAATATCACTGCTGTGACATGCAGAAGCCTTGGTGCCAAGTTTGTGGAAGCATGAACAACAAAACCAGAAACAAGGCAGGAGAGGATCAGTCAGTCCTTTTGTGGCTGTGTCCAACCCATGCTGCTGCGGTTTCAAAGGAGTTCCCCCTTTGATTCTAACCATATCCTGGTTTTTCATTTTTTCTCATCTTCTGCTTTGGGAATCTTAGGAATGTCTTTTTACACACACCTCCTTCAGCCTGTGTGCTTTGTCCTACCCATCTCCTTTTTTCCTCATGCTTTCCATGCTTGATCCCAGTCTTTCAGTTTCTCTTTTTATTTTGGCCCACAAACAGCCCCCTTCCCCTGCATATCAACAGCAGTGGGAAGTAACCTAATTAATAGTTTCTTGATAGGCTACCCCACACATGCACACACCCATCCCCCCAGTATCCCGCTGGCAATTCAACAGCCCTCTCTCAAGAAAGGAAAATATTTCCATACTAATTAATAACAACATCGGGTAGTTCTGGGCGGAAGGATCTGGGATTCCCATCTGGGCCTGGATCTCTCGAGCTGAAGGAGCAACTGTACCTCAGAGCACATTTCCTTTTCCAAATCCTTGTGTTATTAACTGTTTACACTGTTCTTGGTATCAAACGTCGTTGCAGCCTGGCTCCTGTGTTAGCTGGTATTTCTGCAACTGAGTTCAGGCTGAATTCCTTCAGCACTCAGGCTGTGCCTCTCATTTAGCACATGGCACTTGTTCAGAAACCTGCAGTGCTTCCCTTCTCTCTTCTCCATCAGGATTCACACGAGCCAAGGACCTTTGCATGCTGTGCTTCTCAAAGGACACAGACACTACTGTATCCATTTAAATGTCTTTGCTGCTTGACTTCCCCTGACACGCACTGCCCTGTCTCTGTTTCTGCCACAACCAATTGCAAAACAACAACAACAAATCAAGCTCTGTTTTTTAAGTATTCTGCAGAGAAGGAGTAGTTGTCAGTGTTGACTGAGCTAGAGCCCAGATGCTTTTCTCCAGATGTAGTAGGATAGTCCCACTCCTGTCTTCACCCAGGAGACAGGAAAGGTACTAAATGTTTCACTAAGGACCATGCTCAGAGTTGGGCTTCCAGAGAAGAGGTGAAGCATATGAGTATTTTGCTGTCCTGTCCCAGAATCAACAACAAGGGAGAGTTGTGCATTCTGCCTCTAGAGGGGAGCTGACACAACATGACTACTTGCTTCTTCTGCATCACAGGCCAGAAAAAAAAAAAAAAAAAAAAAAAAAAAAACAAATAAAGTGTGAGAAACACTTGTGTCTTCTCAGTAAGAAAAACAATACAGGTCCTTCACCATCTATCAGCTCCTTAAAGCTATGATAATTAGGCAAGAGTACTTCCTAGAAGCCCTGTCTAGTCAGCTTTGTGTATTGAAGCAAGACTGCCATTCCCCATCACATACACTGGAGGACAACAGGCTGTCTCCAGGGACTGCTGAAGAAGCAGAAACACCAGCAGCAGCTACAGAAAGGCTCACACTATGCAGGAAGATACCCACAAGAACAGGTCCTTCTCCTGTACAGAGTGACCTGGAAAAATACTTGGATAAAAGAAATGTACAAGGAGCACATTTAGGAAACAGTAGGCCAATGAAAGGCATCTTCAAAACAGAGTAATAAGGAAGGAAGAGTAAAACAAAGAAAATGAAGATAAGTGAGGTGCCCCCAGTTATTCTGTGACAGCAGTGCTGCCTGCTCAGTCCTCACAGCATCACATCCTCCATGCATTCACTTCCCATGCCAGCCTTCTTCTGAAGAGCATTTCATCCCCCAGAGCTGCTGTCCCAGCCTCAGTGCAGTGTCACTGTCCCCAGTGCCTGCTTGGCCACAGCATGGCCCAGTCTCCCCCATCTCCAGAAACAACCCTCCTTGAACAGCAAAGCACGGGTGTCCATCCACAAGGCTGAAAGAAGGAAGGAACGAAGGAAGAAAGGATCCCTCTTAAAGAAGGGGGAAGAAGGATGGAGACAGAGGCAAATAGGAGGGAGAGTGAGAGGGGCCATAAATTCCCTTCTAATTCCAAATAATTCCGATTACACGGATGAGTAGTTTTCAATCAGAAAGATAATCTCAAAGATAGATGGCAGGATAATTGCTCGTCAGCGCGACGTAAATATTGTGTCGTTTCTATTAATCTCAGCGAATCGGGTGTCAGGGTTGTCACTCATTCATCAAAACAAATTAAAAAAAAACATATTAAAAAAAGAGAGAGATGCTGGAGGGAGGGGGATGTGTATCCAATAAGCAGCTGAAGGCGTGCAAGGTAATGAATGCTGCTTACAAGCTGTTTGCATTTTTTCCTTTATAAAAGCTAAAGGTAACTCAGGCAGTAGATCTTTATTAAACTCTTGGTAGGCACTACAAGAGGCACTGCTGCACACAGAACTGAGCAATAGGGCTGCAGAATGGGACTGTGGTTGTGAAACAAGGGAGGGAAGGAAGTGGACAATACACCCTAGATATGGGGCTGAATAGTCTGGGCATTAACAACAGGCAGGAGGTACTGCAGGGTCATCATGGTACCTGGAAGAAAGGACACAGATCACAGCACAAAACAAAGGCAGTGCCTCCATTGCCAAGTACAGGAGTGGGCAGGGAATGGAGAGTGATGTGGAGAGGCCAGCTAGCAGGGACACAGTGCCTTGGGGCAATTTTGCCACACTGGCTGCAGGATGATAGCGCATCACTGCCCCACTGCTGTATCAACCTGTCTGCCAGGTATTACACCCCCAGGCATTGTGCACCTCCTCTCCCTGCCCTTGCAAACCACATGGCCTTTGGCATCTTCCTCACAGCCCTTTGGTCCCCTGACTCTACTGTATTGGCTTAGTTCATTACTGCTGACCCAGCAGGACAGATGCCCTCCTGCACCCCCAAGCATTCTCCCCCTGTCCTGAAACACACTCACTTGCCTGGACAGTACCCTGGTGTGGGACCTACAGGTAGGAGCTTGGGTCATGCACTGGTCAGTCACCAGTGTTTCCCCACTGACTACACAGAAAATTCCTTGGGAAGACCCTCATTCCATTCTGACATCCATTTGCTGACATCCTGTTTCCTGAGAACACCATCTTCCCCAGTTCAGGAGCCCTAGACTCAGCTTCTGTACAAGGGATTTTCTGTAGTGGGTGCTGGACTGAAACTACCACTCACATGACACAGCTGGCACAGCTTTATTGGTGGAGATCAGGTAGGAACAAATAACCTCAATGAAAAGGCTCCCCATACAACTTTCACCTTACACAAGGATAGAGGGAAGAGTGGAAAACTTCTGCTTGACAATAGCCTCCAGCCATGCCATCCTGTGCAGCAATCCACCAGAACTGGTGAACTGGTCAAGGCTAGATTAGCATTTGAGCAAATAACTTCCCCAGAAAATTCAGCTGTGGGGAGGAGCAGTTCAGAACTGTGCAAGAAGGTTCTCTGAGCCAGGACTGTTTGAACCTGCTGCTCACTGCTCTGATGCAACAGGGAGGCCTTTCAGTACAGCACAGTCATCTGTAGTCACTGAAGTGGTGCTCTTCAAACAAATCACCTTACTTTGCTCTTGAACAAAACTGTTTCCTTGCCCAAAGTCTGGAGCAGTCAAAACTCAACCTGAAGCTTGTGCTCTTGACTGGCGTATCCTAAGTACCTTGAGATGAAAGAAATGCAAAGTTATTAAGTTTTTAGAGCAGACTTAGTTTGTCAATAAGTTAGACAAATTTTGCCCTCCTGTGCTCCAGGAAGAAGCTGGCAGGTTTTGGCTGTAAGTTAGCTGAGTGCATTGCAAACACCCCCCTTACACAAGAGCCTGAACCAGTGCCCAGGGGCTGTCTTCACTAAACGGATTTGAAAAACGCTAATATGTCATCCCTGGCCACATCACTGTTTCTGTTCATTTACTGCTGCTGTTTGCTAAGTGAACTTTTTTATTTAAAAAGCTGTTCTATTGGTAGCTCCTGTTGAAATTTGCAAACAAATTCTCCATGAACATCCTCCTGCCAGCCTACGACAGAACTGGTCCCAGTGTAGGACAAATTCATTAGGATTGAGTGCTGTTCTCAGTGCACAGTCCTCTGGGACAGAGGGAGCAGGGATACTTGTCCCAGCAGCACATTTAACCTGTCACTCCAGGCAGCAGCGCAATATCCGCTGGGGATTTCAGCTGCTTCTTGATCCTGCCTTATCTCCCCACATCCCCCAGCGTGCCCACTGCTCAGTGAAATGTCACTTCTCTCTCCCCTTCTTCCAAGATGGAAGTGAACTTGTGTGCCTGGCAGGGGTCTGACAGACATGAGCTGAAAGGCTGTCAAGGACCCACTGAAAAGCAGGCAAGCCACACTGTGTCAGATTTCGGGGTGTAACACTGCAGCCTTCTGTCTGCTCTTGGGCTAACTCTAAATGGAACCTTTGATAGGCAGCCAGGCAGCTGTCAGCACAGGGTCAGCCTCAGGAGCAGGAGGGTATGAGCACCTGGGAAGCACATGCCAGTGAGCAGAGAATAGCAGCAGTGTTGTAAGGCTCAGTACTGCAGGGAACCAGGAGCACCAGAACGAAGGGAGAGTCAAGCATTGGACAGTGAAATAGACCAAGGGCATCCATCCATAAGTCCTGAGAAAACCTCATTTCCACAATGACTTCTCAGAGGTGAAGTGTCCCACAAGACCAGCCTCCTACTTTCTCCTCAGTGCTCATTTCCCTCTCCTAGAAATCAGCCAAAGGAGACTCTTCAAGGGGAAAGACTGCAAAGGTAACTCTCTTCAATGACCACCCAGTGTCATTTTTCACATCCCATCAGCCTGTGACTTCACTATGACTGGTGTCAGAGCATCTGAACATGACTTAATGCTCAAGAAGAATTTGCCATTTCTCTGTATGTCACACCTTTCCCAGCGAGTCCATGAATGGCTCTCTACAACAAATGACTGAGCTCACCCATGAAGGATGTGAGGGAAGAGTAAATCCACATTGGAAGGAAGCTCCCCAGTTCCCTGATTCAATGGTCTGATCCCTATGTCCACAGAAATTGGAGTTAGAATTATGAGCTTAAAGAATTAAAACTGCATAAACTATACACAACACTATATAAATAATTAATTTACAGTACTAATTTAGTCAGTGCTCTCACTCCTGAACTAGAGTTGGTCCTTTGTTTAGTGGACTTCTTTAAAAGTACCTCTGCAACAGCTTTGAGAGTTAACCAGCTGACAATCTAGATCTTCTGGTATCACTTTTTCAGAGACATTCATCTCACAAACAAGAAAGTGGATTTAACTGAAAATGTTAGTACAGAAAGAAAATATACTCTTCAGAATGTGTACAGCTCAAAAACTTAGTCACACCAGGGTCTGTGCTAGAGCTACTGAGGTAAATTGTGTGTGACCTGGAAACTGAGACAAACAGGTGGTAGAAAAATGCAGATGATGACAGGTTCATTTAAATTAAAGTGGACCAAGAAGAACCTCAGAGTGACAAAGCTGGATAGAAAAGCAGAAAACTGTTGGTGAAATCCAGCATCTGCCACCAAAACCAGGCAATGCTGACTGCTCTCAGAGAGCACTTCAATAGGCCTGGAAGCTCCAAAGGAACACAGGAAATATAGAGAGTTAGATGGAAATGGCCTTTCACTCCACATTGGTGGCAAGGGGAAAAAAAAGAGCAGGGAAAAAATCCACCACTTATTCAGATACACCAGGAAGGAAATACTGAGTGATAATAGACAGGAATTTTTGTCCCTGTGTTCTGTGCAGGACAGTAGCACTGTCCCCAGTAGCATGCATGAGGAATCATTGCTGTTTTCAGTCCTATTGGAGAACAGCAATGTTTCTCCTGTTCTCTCATCTCTTTTCTGGATGAGAGCAGAAACAAGAATGCAAAGCTGAGAGAGAAAAGTTTCTGGAGAATATAGAACATATGAAACCACATTAACTCATGGGACTTACCCACCCAGTTGCAGTGAGTTATGCAGCACAGTTTAAGCAGGATTAAACATTGTATCAGACAGATATTTGAATTATAGTGTGATATATATACAGGTTTTTCAGTCCTCCTCAATGACAGCAGCCTAAACTTGCAGCAAGAAATCATAGTAGTTTAGAACAATTTGCCTCTTCACATAAAATTATCATCATGACAGTCAGAGATTCAAATAAAACTCATGAGCTGGTAAACCTCTGAACATCAGTAACACTGCACCCAAGCCCACATCAGGGACTGGATGCCACCTGAGGGAATATTCCACAAACTTTATAGATAAATTGGGGGGCAGCTCTTTGGCTCAAGTGGCGATTTGTGTACTGACATTAGCTGTTTCTATATCTAAGTTCTTACAAAAAGAGATGAGAGCATACAAAGCTGTCCCCTGAGCTTGCCAATGTGCTACCAGCTGGACCCACCTTCTTGGAAAAAAGCCAAAAAATATCCAAAATTGGAGGCTGACCAGCAGACAGAGAAACACCTTTCCCCCAAACTGGACTCTTCTGAAACATCAGCCAGGCTGGGAAACGGGACTCAGGAGCAGGGAGATAATTGGTGCAAATTGGCATGATAAATTCCATACCTGTACATGTCACCCCACCTAGCTTTATGTCAAGTGCTGGATGGCTCTTTCTGTGAAACTGCCCTGCACCTTCTCATATCTAGACCTCCCTCCTTTGTCTCTCCAGAGGAGGAGAAAGGTGTGGCAGGGTAAGTCTGCCACGTTACCCAGAGGCAGAACCACTGTACTGGCCACCAGAACCACTTGCAGAGGTCAGGCTGGAAAGCATTGCAGGGAAAAAAGAGCCATCAAAGGCAAAATTGATAAACTCCCCTTGTTACATTTCCCATATCTGCCTCACCCTTCCATGACGTTTACAGACTGGCAACCCACACTGCTGAAATCCCCCTCCTGCAGAGAGCATTTCCCACATTCTGTAGGAGCCCAGGATCAGCCAGTTCCAGCATCTAAACTGAGCAGCAATACTTCATTCAAAGCTTTTTGTAAATGTCATTCTTGGGTCTGTCAGGATCAATGCTACCCTACAACACAGTTTTAAATATATATTCTTTTTAATCTTCTCATTTCTTCTTGCTCCACAGCAGAACATGTCAAGACTGGTAAGGCACATGGTACAACTAACCCCAAGGAAAGCTCATTTGCTTCCACTCAGCCTCTGTCAGCCTCTCCTGAGCACTACAAAGGCTATGTAAAAGCAGTTTTATCACTGCTGTGAGCACCTCTGGGAGCATCCATGACACTGCTCACAGGAAAGCCCACACACAGAGATGCAGAGCACTCAAGGCACCCAGCCATGAAAGAGAGACATGCAGAATTGTTCTTCAAGGGGTGGATTTTCAGAGTCCTCTCACATCACCCACCTGACTGACCCAATCTGGCACCTGCAGCTGGTGGGAGATGTAGGAGCATGTTTACCACGTGTGCCAGCTGAACAGGAAAGTCAGGGACATAAGGAAGAACATCCTGCAGCAATGGCTCAAAGCAGTCTAGGCTGACAATGAGGCAGATTCCCCAACATAAAGGGTGAAAGCTAACCTCCAAGATCTATACTGTTCTCTTTTCTCTCTCAAATGATAAATGGACAAAACACAGAGAATGATACTCTAATGCCACAACAAAATCCTGGCACTGCCAGGCCTGAGTTTGGCTCCACACAAACAGCTCCCAGCTATTTATCTCATTACTTCCCTGCTCCTCCGCTTCTCCACCAAAGGCTACCCTGGGTACAATGTTGACTAGGAAGCCATGCTTGCACAGCTCCCTGGAGATGCTGGGAGGGGAGCACTGGAGAAGGCCAGAACAAGTTGGTTAAAGTGCACTTGACCACTGATTTCACTCATTTTCTTCCTCATCATTCAGCTCCTGCATTGTAGCAAAATCCTTCTGCTCCTACTCCTGCTTCCCATTCTGACCCCTTCTGGCTCTGTGATTAGGCCATTTCCCCTTGGACACCCTGCAGGTGTGGCTCTTTACAAAGGACATGGGTCCCCTGATGCAGAGCAGGAGCACTGACCCAGTTGGGTGCACACAGTTTCTGAGCCCTCTCCCACTGGCTCAGTCATCAGCACTCAGACACAGTCTACAGGCCATAACCAAACCTCTGGGAGGTTTTCCATCGTCTTCCTCAAATAATGAGGCAGCCTCCTTTCTCTCTCCATGGAGCACAGTCTCAGATTTCCTCCAATGGACAGCAACTTACCAGCTTCCAGACACCAAATAAATACTCTGACACAGCTGCATCATCATCTGCCACCATGGATTTTTTGGTTTCTCATCTCCACACACCATGTTCAATGTGGTTTTCTTTTAATTCCGTGTGTCCTGGCAGCAGGGACCTTTCTTTTCTTTTGCTTCTAATTCCAAATCCCTTAGCATCTCCACACTGTAGGCATTGGTTACAGTGCTCCAAATGTAGTATCCTTTAATTTAGTATCCTGCACATTTAATTAATGGTCACCTTACCACCTCTTCTGTGTACCTAATCAAAATGTATCATAATCATACCAGCTTGAATGGCGATTCCTGTCCCACCTCACTGGCCAGCCAGCTTTGCAATGGCAAAGACTAGACCTTTCTATCTCAAGCTTATATAATTCTACACAACTATCATCATACTTGGATCCTATTCCTCCTCCTCCTATCTGGAGAACACCCACATATTGCTAATGAGGTTTCATATAGTTGAATCAAATGCTTCACCAGTGATCAGATTCCTGTAAAGTATTAGTAAATGAAAGCATGAATAAGCAACAACACTTAAAAGCCAAGAGCACTTTCCCAATGTAGTTTGCTCTCCATGCTATCTTTGCAGATGCTATTACCTCCCCCCAAGGTGTTCCACATTATTCCTATCTCTTTTACACTTCAATTTACAAGGAGATACCTCCACTGCAAGAATCTAAATTCTTCCACCACCCCTATCACCTGTCTATCCTCTCTTGAACCCATTTCTCTTGTGGATGTTCTCTTTCTGTGGGTGAAAATAAAAAGGTTTTCAAAGTATGTAAATCACAAAAGGTAGAGCAGAAATAACACTGGGCCATTACAAGATGAGGATGGTCACCTCACAAACAGGAACAGAGACAAGAGAGAGGTTTTCAAGGCCTTTTTTGCTTGTCTTCATCACTGATGATGGGCTAAGGGAGACACAGTGCCCTGAGCTGGAGAACCATGACTGTGAGAACAGTCAACTTCCAGCTGACCTCAAACTTGGTGGGATCTTTGTGGGATCTGCTGTTCCAGCTGTATCCCTGTAAGTCTATAGGGCCTGACAAGATTCATTGAGAATACTCAAACAGCAGCTTGATGTCATTGCAGAGCCTCTCTCAATGATTTTTGAATGGTTTTGGGAATCTTCCAGTTGACTGGAAGCTAGCTAACATCATAGCAATTTTTAAGTAGGGCAAAGAGGATGACAGTGGAAACTACAGATCTGACAGTCTCACTGCAGTGACTGGTAAAATTATGGAGAAGATTATTCTGGAAAGTGCTAAAAACCACCTGAAATACAATGCAGTCATTGGTCACAGCCAGCATGGCTTCATGAGAGCAAAGTCCTGCTTGCCAAATCTGATTTCCTTTTACGAAGAGGCAACCTACCTAGTTGATTAAGAGAAGCCTCTCCATGTAATGTCTTTGGATTTCAGTAAAGTTTTAGATACTGTCTCTCACAGTATCCTTCTGGACAAAATGTCTAGCACATAGCTGGATAAACAAGTGATGAGATGGGTAAACAACTGGTTCATGGGTGAACCACAAAGGGTTATGGCAAATGAGATGACATCAGACTGGTGACTGGTCACTAGTGGGGTTTCACAGGGCTCCATCCTTGGTCCAGTTCTTTGACATCTTCAGAATGCTGAAGGTGCAGCACTGGGAGGAATTGTTGACTCCCTTGAAGGCAGAGGCTCTGCAAAGAGACCTTGAAATTGATGGAGATGGGCAATCATCAGCCACAAAAAGTTTAAGAAAGACAAATGCCAGGTTCTGCACCTGGAATGGGGCCACCCTGG